GGCGAAGTTCCTGAGCTCCCTTACAAGCTCTCTGCCATCCAAGTCTGAGTTCCCCTTAAAGTGCAGTGTTGTACTGAGGACATTGCATTGTTCTGTGAGGTCTTTGTCTGAAAGAATTGGAAAGTTTGTGAGCACCCCAAAATAATCTTCCACTTTTAACCACATTTGGTAGGTTTTCAGCAAGTTTTTATTGGAATATACACACACACACACACACCTGTATTATTTTATAGTTATATTATTACAATGTCTTCAGCGATCGTGGGCACCAGCGGGGGGGGGGGGGGGGGGGTTCTGCCACCTCCTGCTGGAGGCTGCCCTGTGCGGCCGCCCATGTCACCCATATAAGGAACCGCCACTGAGTGTGGAAAAATGGAAGACTGTTCTGTGGTCAGATGAGTCACGATTTGAAGTTCTTTATGGAACACTGGGACGCCATGTCATCTGGACCAGAGAGGACAAGGATAGCCCAAGTTGTTATCAAAGCTCCGTTCAGAAGCCTGCATCACTGATGGTATGGGGTTGCATGAGCGCTTGTGGCATGGGATGCTTGCATGTCTGGAAAGGCACCATTTATGCAGAGAACTATGTTCAGGTTCTAGAACAACATATGCTCCCATCTAGACGTCATCTCTTTCAGGGAAGACCCTGCATTTTTCAACACGATAATGCCAGACCACATTCTGCAGCAATCACAACATCATGGCTACGTAGGAGAAGGATCCAGGTACTGAAATGGCCAGCCTGCAGTCCAGATCTTTCACCTATAGAGAACATTTGGCGCACCATAAAGAGGAAGGTGCGACAAAGAAGGCCCAAGATGATTGAACAGTTAGACGCCTGTATTAGACATGAATGGGAGAGCATTCCTATTTCTAAACTTGAGAAACTGGTCTCCTCTGTCCCCAGACATCTGTTGAGTGTTGTAAGAAGAAGGGGGGATGCCACACAGTGGTAAAAATGGACTTGTCACAACTTTTTTGGGATTTGTTGACGCCATGAAATTTGGAAACAACAGATTTTTCCCTTAAAATGATACATTCTCTCAGTTTAAACTTTTGATCTGTGATTTGTGTTCTATTCTGAATAAAATATTAGATGTTGGCACCTCCATATCATTGCATTCAGTTTTTATTCACTATTTGTTTAGTGTCCCAACTTTTTTGGAATCCGTATTGTATATAACATGCTAATTGTAAATTAAATGGAATAACAAGCATAAGTTAGCAGAGGAAAGCAGAAATAACATTAGCTGTATTAGCTGAGCTAAAAAAAATAAAACTAGCAAAAATTAACTGAAAACTAGATGAAATAGAAAAAGCTGAAACTAGCAGGGAAAAAAAAAAAGGTGAAAGGAGCATAACAAGCTGAAATCACCATAATGAAGTTAGATTGAAAGTAGCAAATATTACAACGAAAAACTTGAATCTGAAAAATGAAATTTAAAAAAAAGAAAAATTAAAAAGGCAGCTGAAAAAGTTGAACTAGCATAAAAGCAGAAGTAAACAGAAACAACATGTTTGACCATTCAGGCTGACAGAAGCAGAAATGAGCACAAAACTGGAAATTATCTGAAAAATATAAAACTACCAAAATAAATAAATAAAACCTGTTCCAAAATAGCTACAAAAGGCAGAAAGAAACTTAAAATACGAAAAGGAAGTGGAAAGAGCTAAAAGGAGTAAAAAAAAAAAAAAAAAAAAAAAATTTAATGTAGAATTAGCTGAAAAAGCTAAATTTATCATAAAAATGGCTAAATAGCAGAAAAAGCTGAATGAGCTGAAATTAGCATAAAGAAGTTAATTAGGCTTAATGTAGCAAGAAATACCAAGAAAAATTAACAGATCTGAAAACAGCTGCCATTAGATAAATGATAAAACAGCAACAGAAATAGCTGATGCTTTCATAAATAAGCTTGAAAGGAGCAGAACATGCTTAAATTAGCAGAAATAAGTTGGAAGCACAAAAAGCTTCTAGTTAGCAGAAAGAATCTGAAAGTATCACAAATCAGCTGAAACCCCACCCCACCCAAAAAATTAAAAAATAAATAAAATAAAAACAAACAGCTTAGCTGAAATTAAAAAAAAAAAAATTGCACAGGAAGCTGATTAAGCAGAACAAAATGTGAAAGGAGCAGTAAAAGGTTGTAAACAGATCTAAGATTTGAAGGACGTAAAATGAGCTCAAGTCATTTTCTAAGAGCAAAAAGTGGCAGGAAAGGCTAAATATTTCAAAACGCTGAAGTTGCACCAATACCAAAAGTCATAACACCCTTTTCCAGAAAGAGCTGAACGTTTTGATTTATGATTTGTTGAAATGGAACAAAAATTGTGGAAAGAGAAAGATGCTGAAAAACGTACAGAAGATAAATGGATCACAACAGTGCTTCAGAAACATTCACATTAAAAAAAAGCTCAGACCCCCGGCCGCAATACACCCAACAACACCAACCCCCCGCAGCTGTTCATGGTCCATCAGTACCAGACAGGTCACTACAAACAGACTAACACACTAAATCAAAGAGGGAAGTAATGACAGCAGGGATGAAACAGAGTTGTTTGCTCATTTTAAAATCGTCATTGTTAATTTCAGACAGTATATTTGTATTATTACTTTGTATTACTATTTCTATTTTTAAACCAAAGCAACTTTAAAGAACAGTAGAAACGTTTAAAATACATTACCAGCTGTGCATCTAGTCTTATGAAGACAAATTCTCAGACACCATAAAATTACACGGTTTGAAATGAGCTAACAGAGTGCAGTGAGGTCCAATCAGTCCCACCTGGTCACTTCTTTCTTTTTCTTTAATCAAATCAGGACTCATCTGAAACAGCTGAACTTTGCCTCCTGCAACTACAGGACTGCAGGTTTACCACTTTCTACAGCAGAAGTGTAGAAGTTGGCAGTAATACACCTTGAGGGATGCAAGCTGCCGTAAAACCTCACAGAAGAAGAAGTGTAGAAGAGTCACTGTGATGTTTAAGGCCTTCTTCACTTTCTACAGCAGAGTCTGAACTGTTTGTAACCAACTCAGTTTCATCCTTTTAATCAGTTTGCAGTAAAGTCCTTAAACAAAGCATGAACTATTTGTAGTAAAGTCCTTAAACAAAGCATGAACTATTTGTAGTAAAGTCCTTAAACACAGCATGAACTGTTTGTAGTAAAGTCCTTTAAACACATCATGAACTGTTTGTAGTAAAGTACTTTAAACACATCATGAACTGTTTGTAGTAAAGTCCTTAAACAGCATGAACTGTTTGTAGTAAAGTCCTTTAAACACATCATGAACCGTTTGTAGTAAAGTCCTTTAAACACAGCATGAACTGTTTGTAGTAAAGTCCTTTAAACACAGCATGAACTGTTTGTAGTAGTCCTTAAACAGCATGAACCGTTTGTAGTAAAGTCCTTAAACAGCATGAACTGTTTGTAGTAAAGTCCTTAAACAACATGAACTGTTTGTAGTAAAGTCTGTAAACACAGCATGAACTGTTTGTAGTAAAATCTTTAAACACATCATGAACTGTTTGTAGTAAAGCCCTTTAAACACAGCATGAACTGTTTGTAGTAAAGTCCTTTAAACACATCACGAACGGTTTGTAGTAAAGTCCTTTAAACACAGCATGAACTGTTTGTAGTAAAGTCCTTAAACACAGCATGAACTGTTTGTAGTAAAGTCCTTAAACAGCATGAACTGTTTGTAGTAAAGTCCTTTAAACACATCACGAACGGTTTGTAGTAAAGTACTTTAAACACAGCATGAACTGTTTGTAGTAAAGTCCTTTAAACACATCATGAACTGTTTGTAGTAAAGTCCTTAAACAGCATGAACTGTTTGTAGTAAAGTCCTTAAACAGCATGAACTGTTTGTAGTAAAGTCCTTAAACAGCATGAACAGTTTGTAGTAAAGTCATTTAAATACAGCACAAACTGTTTCTAGTAGTATGAACCGTTTTGTAGTCCCTAAATACAGCATGAACTTCTTGTAGTAGTAGTCCTTAAAGACTGCCTTAACTGCTTTTAGTAGTACTTGAACACAGCATGAACTTAGTAAAGTCCTTAAACGCAGTACGGTCAGAGGCTTTTAAATGTATACTGATTTAATGTTCTGGTTATTTTATGCATTGTTTATGGTGTTTTAGAGAGTAGTTAGCAGTTTAATGCTCATATTTATATTCTGCATTCATTAGAGGTCCAGAACAACACGTCTTCAGGTTTCCTGAAGGGATTTTAGTTTTTCCCTTTCAGTACCTGACCTTTAATAGATTGTTTATTTTTGTTTGTATGTCAGTAACTATGTCCATTAAAGCCTTTATGGAAATTAAAGGACAAACCAACAGACAACTTGGCAAAGAACTAAATTTACATTAGCTCTTTAACTAGCAGCAGGCTAAAGTTAAAGATGTAGCTTGATCCCCCCCCCCCCCCCCAAAAAAAAAATCTTTTAAAAACATGATTTTAGAGAGGGGCAGCACGGTGGCGCAACTGGTAGAGATGCTGCCTCTCAGTGAACAGGTCCCTGGTTCAAACCCCGGTCCAGGGGCCTTTCTGGGTGGAATTTGCATGTTCTCTCCGTGCATGCGTGGGTTTTCTCCGGGTGCTCCGGTTTCCTTCCACAGACCAAAAACATGCATGTTAGACTGGTAACTCTAAATTGTCCCTAGGTGTGAGTGAGAGTGAATGGTTGTTTGTCTCGTTTGTCTCTATGTGGCCCTGTGATGGACTTGCGACCCGTCCAGGGTGTACCCCGCCCCTCGCACAGTGATTGCTGGACATGGGCACCAGCGACCCCCGTGACCCAAAATGGAATAAACGGGTAAAGATAATGGATGGATGGATGGATTTTAGAGAGGAAAACAACACCCAGTTTGAAGAAACGATCAAAGTAACAATAAAAATGTATTGTTCTATGTAAACCAATGTTTAAACCTTCAGCACATGCAAAAAAATCAAAATCAAACATGCCCTTTCCCTCTTCCTGGGATAAATCACCTGCATGATGTCATTTGACTTTATTTACATCTGAATGTACAACAATTAATTATTACATCAACATAAATGCCAGGAAATGACTCTGTTCGATCTGAAAAGTGCATTGTTTAACAGACATGAGCAAAATGAGTACATTGAACATCTCAGGAGGTAAAAAAGTCGAAAAGAAGCCTTTCATCACATTCACAGCCAGGAAGTCAAACTCTTTCTCAAGTCAGAATTATTTCAAGATAACTATTAAATATCAGTAATATTATTTAAATGTGCAATATTGATTTGTATGGGTTCTGTAATAACACTTAGATTAGAAGGAGAACTAATTCAGAAAGTATTGATACTTCTTCAGCTCGGTCCAACCGTTAGCTTCGAGTGGTACAATCAGACAGTGATAGTTTAACCCGGATGTTAGCAACACTCAGACATTACCAAGTTAAACTCTGGATGGACTATTTACACAAAGGTACAGGACAGGGTCACAAAGCATTCAACAGGTGTATGACAAACAAAAACATTTATTGCTCCACATCAGGGTCAGGTTGAATGGGAGCGTTTGTGATTGGCGGTCTTGAAGGCAAACTAATGTGCTGGCTTCTTTTAAAGGAGGACAAGAAAGGAGGCAGGAAGAAGACAGAGACTTTGTAGTGACGGTAAACGAAGAAAAGCAACAAAGAAAAGTCCTGCATTGGTTTTTGTCCAGAGATGAACAGGCACTTCTGCCCCTCTTCCTCCATCGTCTCATTTGTTGACACACGAGGGCCAGCTGAGACCTCCGCAGGACGCCGACACGATGATGTAAATGATCACCTGAAAGCAGCAAAGTTCATCCGTTGATCATCAGTCTGCTGCCCACAACACACTCTGCCTTTCAGAACAACCACACTTCAATAAAAACCTGATGCGAGCTCAACATCCAGGTAAAAATACAACATTCAGTCAGGTCATCTGGACGGTTTCTTTTTTTGTTGAGACGTTTCGTCCTTCATCCAAAGGACTGCATCAATCAAGATGGAGGGGAGGAGTCGACGGGGGACAGTGCGGCCCCCAGAAGCCATCTTATCACCAGCAAACTGGTTGGTTCACTAAAGGAGTTGGTGCTTGTGGGACACTGTTTTAGGGCTGGACGATGTATCAGATATACTCGATGTATCACCAGGTTTTCAATTTATGATGGTTAAAATGGTTCTATCTATAAAGTAGTATTAGACTTGAAAATCTGTGTAGTTCTTTTTCTCCCGACTTTGCTCAACTTCACACGGCCCCTCCTTCTCCCTCACTGAATACAAACCCAGCCCCTCACCCACGCCCGCTTCCACTTCCTGCTTCTGCAGGTGGGCGGGAGTTTAGCACAAGTAAGCACAGGAGAGGATATTGAAGAACAGCTGAACAGCCGAACAAAAAGAAAAACAATGGATATTATTTGGAGATGGTTTGAATTTAAATTGTCAGATGAGGGGCAGAAATTTTTTTTTCTGTAGACGATGCCGAAAACAAGTTCCAACAATAGGTCGGAACTACAAATCTTTTTCTCCATTTAAAACAGCGCTACAAGTGGAGAATGAAGCGTGTGTGAAACTGCAGCTACAGCTCCGACTGACTTCAATGTCCTTCAGCCTCCTTCCCTGAAAC